GCCTAAGTAACCATAAAACCTAACATAAGAATAATAATCACTTTACTTGGTTAGAGTTTTCTAAAAATATATTTTTTTTAAATTCTACTTTCTTACTTTTCGTATTTTTTTGTTTTTACTAAATTTTTTTAATATTTTAAGCAATTTTTTTTAATTTTTAGACACATCTAACATAAATACACTTAAAAAACATAATTTTCGTGATTTTTTTTTAAAATCCACTAAATACCAAAAATATGAAAATTCAGTACATTTTTCATATTTTTTGTGTATTTATTTATTTTTTAAATATTTTTTCACAAATATTTTACTTTTTAGACACATCTAAGTAAGATGCATCTAAAAAAGTAAAAAAAAAATGCTTAAAATTTTAAAAATATTAACTAAAAACAAAAAATTACGAAAATTAAATAATTCAATTTTCAAAAACCTTAATTTAAAAAATTCAAACCAAACACACTGAATACTAATGATTATCTAAGGAGTGATTCGAGCAAAAAAATATATATGTTAAATTGTATGAGAATATATAAAAATATGTAAAAATTAATTAAACTTTTACTCCCTTCGTCTCAAAATATTAGTCCCTTATTTTATTTTTTATTGTCTTAAAATATTAGTCCATTTTTAACAATCCATTATTAAAATAATATGAATTTTCTATTTTATCCTTATTTTAAATTCATTAACAATAACAAAAGTATTATTATGACAATTGATATTTTTAAAAAAATATACTATCAATAGGTAATTTTGAAAAAAAAAATAATATTTTAAAAATGTAATATTTGTACTATTAAAAAAATTAAATTTTCTAAAAAAAGACTATTATTTTAAAGGAGAATTTTTTTTAAGGTCCCTGGTATTAAGATTTTACAGTATAAAGGACACTCAATATTTTCATAATGTCTAAGGCCCCTCAAGTTCATCCAGAGAAAATTGGTCCAGAAAAAATTAATCCAAAGAAAATTGGTCCAGAGAAAATTAGTCCAGAGAAATTCTGGACCAGAGAAATTCTGGACTTCCAAAGAATTTCTCTAGGTTCAACCCAGAGAAAATTCAAATTTCGCTGGGTTCAGTTTAACTAATTTTCAAACCAGAGAAAATTAATAAATTCTGGACTTCCCAAGCCATTTAAATACAACAACTGCAATTCAATTCAAGCTCCTTCAATAACAACAATGGCACACAACAAAACTATAATACAAAACTAGAAATTCAGAGAAAATTCACACAAATTCCGCATCCAGTAAAAATGCTGATCCAGAAAAATTCTAGAAAGACCAGAGAATTTCTCTGATGTTTTGCTACTGGGTTTAGTGTTGTTTATTAATGTGGTTGAGAGAATTTTCTCTGAATCAAAATTTTCTCTGTATTTTTATACAAATTAAGCATTCTAGGCTCCAGCTTGAAACCAAAGAATTTCTCTGGACCAACTCAGACAAAATTCAGTTAAAAAATCAGAGAATTTTTCTGGTTTCAACCCAGAGAAAATTTAGTTAAAAAACCAGAGAATTTCTCTGGTTTCAACCTAGAAAAAATTCAGTTCAGGTGAATGGCCATGGCCATGGTAGTTTCCCTGTCTTGAAGCTGTAGTAGTGTTGATGGAATGTGAAAATCCAGTGAATTCTCCACTATACATGAACATCAATAGTAGTGCTTATACTAGTTGTATTAATAAAACAGTCAAGTCTTCTTCACAAACCCATTATTATTATTCTTACTTTCTGGTATAGTGGAGAATTCTTCACAAACCCATTATTATCAAGTCTTCTTCACAAACCCATTATCATAGATGAGATAGTTGCAACTTCCTTGTGGTCTCCAACAACAACAATAACAAATCGCAACTTTTCCAGTCACTTCATGGAATTCCACGCACAGTTGGCCTCTGGATTTGAGCTTTCATCGGCCAACATTCTCTATGAATATTGCTCAAGAGGAGGCAGTTGCTTCATTGATTCTACTACCAATTACACCGTCATTTGTTTGACCTTCGAGATTGTTGCGAAACAGATTGGTTAGCGTAAGGTTCTGGGATCTCCGATGTTCCAGCATCCCGACTTGATCGACGAGGAAGATCGTACATGAAGACCCTGAGCGGCGACGCCATTGACGGTGAAGGTGGAGCTCAATCGGCTAGAGAATGAAGTCAGGGGTGAGGAACAAGAGTTGATCTGGACAAGTCTGAGAATGGAGAAGTTTAGAGAGAGAGATAAGTTTTGATTTGGTAAGGTCAAATTTCTCTGATATATGTTTAGAGACCTTAGGCATCAAAAAATAATTTTGTGAATCTCTTCCATTACAAAAAGTGAGAGAGGGACCCTGGACTAATTTTTCTTATTTTAAAGCTGGGAGAGTATTTATTTTAACATTTTACTCACTTTAATAATAGTTCATGAAATTATTATTCAGTGCAATGTGTGACATTGTAACGTACTTTATCCACATCATCCATGAGTATAAAGCCCGCGTAAATTGATAAAGGACCCATCTATTCGTATAAAGCCCGCGTAAATTGATAAATTATATACAAATATGTCAAAGTGGTGGAGCCCAGCTAACTCTTTTTTGTTTTTTTTGGAAAACAGGAACAATAAAGTAACAAAAATTTACACTCCCTCACACCGCCTAATTTTTTTTAAATTTTTTTTTTAAAAAAAAATTTGGAATAAGGATGTTTTTGTAGTGTTATCGCTATACAAAAGTCGAACTTGAGTCACGCCTGTGAAGAAAGCATCCTTCTCCAGTAAATCACCACCCTCGATGGAATTTGGGATATGTGTTGTGCGCCCAGTACAATAGACACTGCTATACAGCCTTATGGGCTCATTTTGGGACCCGTTTTAATAATATGAAGCGTTCATATTTTAGACTACATTGAGTAAAACATACTTACTAAAAATCAAGTTAATCGGATATAGTTAACCTTTTCATTCACTCACATTTATATTTGAAAATTAAATGACATTTGATTTAAAGTATTAAAATGAATACAAATGTGAGAGGATGAAAGGGTTCACGATATCCGATTAACTTGATTTTTGACTGGTATGTTCTACTCAATAAATTCTAAAATGCAAACGATTCAAATAATCAAAACAGATCCTGAAGTAAGTCTATAAAATCGCACAACAGTGCCTGTTCCAGCACAACAAGCACCCCTAATTCCCCGATGGTACCACCTATTTCTTTTGCTCTTATTTTATCGGGGCTGAATGCTTTTTCTTTTTTTTAATATTATTATTATTATGAAGCAATTTAATCTATAATTTTAATATATTTCTCTGGATTAAATTGGTATAATATGTCTATATATATATTTTTTCAATGCAAATATATTAGCCGCCCCTCAAGTGTAAATCTTGGGTTCACCCTGATGATGTGGATTATAATGACATGTCTATATTTTTACTATTATTTGTCTTCTAAATACATGTGGTATACACTTTATAACATTACAAAAATTCCAAACTTTTTATTTCTCAGTATGAATTATTAATTGTTCTTTTATATTATCATTAATTCATAGAATTTAGAGATTGTAGTGAACAATGAACATGATTATCAAAAACAAAATATTGATGCTCTAGAATTCGAACTCTTTAATCTTCAGTCAAAAATCAAATAGCTTTCCATAAAGTGACTATGCATAAGAAAAATGAGTTAGACCCCCTTTGTGGAAGACCCCCACAACCCTCTTACTGATCTACACCATTCATGATGTGTGGGGCCCACTCATATATGTGTGGGATCCACATCTTGAATGGTATGGATCACAAAGGGGGTTGTGGGGGTCTTCCACAAAGGGGGTCTCTATCATTACTGCTATGCACAAATTGTGATGTTTTACTGTAAATGGTGTTTTGTTAGGTTTCATTTGACAACTTTTTGTTTTAGTTAAAAAGTCACAGTAAATTATCACATCACTCTTTCTATTTTTTAGTATATTTTTTTGTAAAAAATTAAAAAGTTACTAAAATAACCTATTCCCAAACGAAGCCTGTGAAAATGAAAAAAAGAAAGGCAAAAGAATAAAGAATATGATGTGTGTATATATACATACGCATATATACATTGGTCTTGACATCACATTTGTGTTAGGGGATGTTTGGCAAAGGTTATTTTTTTAGTTTTTTAGGCTAAAATCTACAAAAAGACAAAATAGACTAAAATAACCAATAAGATAAAATGCCACATTAAATCCATAATCATTTTATTTTTTCTCTCACAAACGTCATATCTAACTACAAAAAAAATCTAACAATCTACCCAAATCCAAAAAATTTAACTTATTAAAATAGCAAAAAACTAAAATAATTTACTAAAATAACAACTTCCCAAACACCCACTTAGTACAAACAATTCTTTACATTCAAATTGTTTAGTTTTGAGTTTTTAAAAATATTTTTTGAATTTTTATTTTTTATGCTTTTGTAATTTTAGTGATTTTTTTTTTCACATTTTAGTTAATTTTTAAAATTTTATACATGCCTAATTTAAATGTACTTAAAAAATAAAATATTTGTGAATGAATCTAAAAAAATACACCAAAAAAAAAAAACTAAAATTTTGTATTTTAAGTATTTAGTGATTTTTTTTAAAAAAAAAATTATAAAATTGATAAAAAAAAATTAAAAATTATACTAAAAATAATTTTTTAAAAAAATATGAAATCAAAATTCAGAAACTCTTTTTTAGAAATTGCAAAACCGAACAGAGTTATTACTTTTTAATGTAAAATATCAAAAGCAAAGAAGATCAATGCCCCCATTCTTTGATAAAGCTCAATTGGTACAACAAAAACCAGAAGAAAACACAAGCTCCACCCACAATCTTTATTAGATTAACAGTTTAGATTAGCTTCAACTATTTGAATTAGTAGAAGAAAATAGCTTTTTAATGGGAATTTTCAGTTCTTTGTCCATAGATAGAAAATACGTACTCATCACATAATGTGAAGAAAGATGAAAGCAACAAATACCAAACAAATGAAATATTAAAGCAATCCTATTGTTCTTCTGTTTAACTTACAAATGCTATTTCATTTCAATGTCATTTTTTTTCCAAATCTGTTTAGCGGAGATAAGTATAACATGTTTAGTATACATTTATATCACCGCAAACAAAATTTTAACTATTTTGCTTTGTGCCTAAGGGATAATCAACATCCACATCGTCTATGTAGTTTATAGAGGATGAACAAAACTAAAGCACACAACATTTCTATATGATGATCCAAAGAGCAATTGTGTGTTACAATGGTGTGATGAGTGACCTATAAAACTCAGTGATGTTGTGGAGGTGGGGACTTGCACTGGTAGCACTTGGCAAAGAGCCCAAAGGTGTCGACTTGTTTGATGAAATTTGTCATGCTAGCCCACCCTCCAAATCCAAACCCAACTACGAAGACCCATACCACGACAAATGTGTTCACAACATACATTGCCGTCCAGCTTGGGAGGAAGAATGGAGGTTTCTCAGCTGCATTCTGCACGAAAAGAAATGAAGAGAATTTCATGAACTATAGAACGGGTAAAAATGTAACTTGGCATCGTGAATGGAGTTTTTAGCAAACCAGTGTCATTTAAAAATATATTCTCCAAACCCATGTTTTGAAAACACAACTTTTAATGTCGTGTTAAAGAACTTGGGGTTGGTAAATAACTTGTGATCGAAGCATTTTTAACGTGACTTCTTTTCTTTTCTTTTTCCCTTAAATACAAACCCAAGTACAATTCATTCGATGACTTAATTTGCCAACTCATTTTCAAAATTTGGACATATCATAATTTTGGCAAACTTGTAGACTCAGTGAGTCAGCTAGCCACAGCTCATTTTATTTAGTAGTGGAAGATTGACTGCTGCATATAACTGAGTGACAATGATACACCACCAAACTCATCATATCTTTTGAACTTTTCAAAATCCGAAACATTAAAACCCTCTTGGAGGGCACTATTGCATCGACATTGAGAGTGATTTCTAAACTAATTACAAAAAAGCTAGACACTTCACTCTCAATAAATGTCGCCCTAATTATTTTCCTAAATAAAATTCCTTCAACTTCCATCTGGTTTTGGGCATTATATTTGAGGGATCCTCACTTTCTGCCCTTACTTCCCTTTTTGAGGTTTTTTCAGTTTTTTAGTAAGAATGGGTGGCGATATTCTGCCTAAATAGTAGACACGATTGATAAATAAGAGAATACACAAAGCAAAAACATGAGAACTGAAATACACAAAGCAAAAACATGAGAATAACTCCTTTCAATTGACAACAAATGAACTTCCTCTAGTTTGCCCTTTGATCCATATCCATTATCCCTTATAAAAAAATTTGGGAAAGACAATAAATTTAGCTCTCTTTCTCCAACTTATCATGGTTTCATAGCCCACTGGCTTAACGTAGAGACAAGATTTGATTCTTAAAAATCATGGCTAAGTGCTCAACAACCGCCATTGATGCTTACCCTAGCTCAATAGGTGAACACGTGATGAAGTCAAAAATAAACTAATAATTCTGTCCATGTGGATAATGCCCAATAATTGAATGGCCAAGACTAAAAATTCATGTTAGTTGTATATGGGCCCAAAATATCAAACATGATTGCCAATAATTCAGTTAGCTGCATATAGGGTCCCAAATATCAAAAATAAATACCAAATCAAGATGAGACGAGGGAAAAAAATTGAACCAATTACCTTTCTAGCCGAGGCCTTTCTGTAAGTGAGCATATGAGCGAGTGCAGGAATGATGTAGACTGTGAAGCTGACAAGAAGTGCCCCAACAGCAGAGTTAATAGGCCCAAAGAAGGGGAAAATAATGGCCAAGAACCATATTGGTATCACCACCGGCAACCTTGCAATCGCCCTTAAAAACATGCTCTTTGTGTCGTGCATCCCAACCACTTTCTCCCACACAAAATAGAGCGGTGTGCAAGCAAATCCAAATGTTATAACCTGTAGAGAACACAAACTAAATAAATTGGTCATATAAATTCACTTAGAAAAGACTCTGTTTGGATCATGAATTTGGATAGAAATTTGAAAAGGAAAGAGAAATGTGAGTGAAATATAAACTAACTTTTTTCTCCATTTCTTTCGTCTTTTCATTTCCGTTTTCAAATCTCTACCCAAATTCATTATCCAAATACAACATAAATGTAAGTTATGCGGGACTATATGTAAGACCTGGTGAATGAGCATTAGGATGACTGCTGTATCACGGAAACCTGTCTGCGGAAGGAGAGAGAAGGCATTGGCATGGTTGAGAAGTTGGTCCCCAAAGGCCCAATAGACCGCGGCAGCTGATGGAATAGTTAGGGTGAATACATAGAAGGTCGCAAACAAATATATGTACTTGAATTTTTGAGGCTTCCACATTGCATGCATGATTTCCCTGTAAATTTAAGTCCCCACATTATTCATCACCAATTATCCAAAAATTTATCAAGTTTTCAGCTCCGAAATTAATGAAAGGGGGATCAAATGGAAACAATTTTACATCAATTTTGGTATCGTTATGAATAGCAAAATTTCCACAGAAACCATTTCAGGTATGATCGAGACATTGACTTAACATCATCTGTTGGCTACTAGAGGTCGTGTCAATCATTTTTTACTTGTAAGTCTTAAGTTAAGGCATTTACGGCACTGATTGCTTTCTTGTTTTCTCACACAAAACAAAATATGTCATGTTGGTATTTTGGCTTATATTGAACCAAACAATCTATTAGTGATGCATTGATTTAATAAGCATCACATTTCATGTCTTATATCAATACATTATTTAGTACTGAGATTTAGCAGTATTGAAACAGGGAAATTGATATCAAATCACTTACACAGTGACTGCGTGTCCTCCGAAAGTGTAGAGTATATTGGTGGCCCCTGTGAAATACAACACCAGTTTTGTAGGGCCAGAGTGAGTCACTCCTTCAACCTTCAAAAAAGTGGGGAAAAAATTAAAATAAAATACATATTCGGGAGATCAGGACCATTGAATTGACTGACTTTACCTGGCCATGAACGAGGGCGGCGATGGTAAGATACCAGGCAGTGTAGGTGGTCATGCCAAGACCAAGAAAAGACCAAATCCTATAGTTGTGAAATGAGGGAATGAACACAGTGGTTGCACAACATGCCCCAAATATGTATGTCCAAGTCCTCTTGTCCAGTTTGTCATTTATGTAGTATATATTACTGTATTATATTTATAAAATAAAATAAAATAAGAGAATTGTAACAGTTAATTAAAGAAAACCCAATTGTAATTATCCTTTCAATAATAAAAAAAAAAATAAAAAAAAAAACTAACCTTGCACAAGCTATAAGTTGAATGACAGAACCAAACATGAGGAAAGTACAGTTGAAGGCCAATCCAACAGCTTTCCAACATGGACCCAACAAACCATCGAGCACTTCAAACCACTGCATAAGTATTCATATGTAACATTGTAACATGTATTGACAAAGTTTGTGAATGGAACTGGCGATTTTCTTTTGATTATTTAATGGTATTGGCATTGTCCGCATTGTGGACCTAACTAATCCCATATAGATTGGATAATGTTGATTCACATTTGTTAATCAGTTGCCAGATAAATTACGATTCTCCTAGTATATTTTGCGATTTCTAGTTGTCCAAATTATCACGTAAGCATATTACATGATATTTTAGAAAATAAAATTAAAAAAACATGTTTGGTGAGGTACTAGAGGTAAGGCTAACAGTAGAGGGAAAACAATTTTTTTTTTTTTTTTTTTTGCATTTTCAAAAATTTTATAAATTTCATAATCAAATCTTTTTTTTTTTAAAACAATATATATATCAAATAAGTTTTATTTTCCAATTTTCAAAAAAATAAATAAAACTATCCCTAGCTGACCAAAAAAAACACATTTTTTTCAATAAAAAAAGATAGCAATGCTAGGGATATAAAATTTCTACCAAACACTCGTATGGGTGTGATGTGAGTGTTTGGTAGGAAACCCTAAGGATGTGTACCATATAAATCTTATAATTAAAAAGAAAAATGACATTATTTTAATTTTTTGAGTCATAACTAAAAAAAAAGAAAAAATATTATAACTAAAGAATTCATTAAGTCATAACTAAAATAATGTCATAACTAAAGAAAAAAATTAGTCATAACTAAAAATAAAATGATATAATTAGAGATACATATGATACATCCTTTTTAAGGAGTATATATTAGAATTTCCTGATAGAAAATTTGGACTTTCTAGCATTTTAGGGTGGAAAAAAAACGTAGGCTTCGTTTGGGAAGCCTTGGTTGAGGCTTTTTTTGGCTGTTTTAGCCACAAAAAACAAAACATCACATTCAACCCATAATCATTACACTATTCTTTCACAAAAAAAGTCAAAAAAGCCAAAAAGCCAAAAAGCCCTTCCCAAACCAAGCTTTTTAGCCCAGACTAAATAGCCAAAAAGCCAACCCACTTCCCAAACCAACCCGTAATGTGTTTTTGTAATAATAATTTTTTTCTAAAAAAATAAAACAAGAAAATTGTTTAAAAAACATTTGCCACATTTATTAGTTCAAAAATGGAATGGTGGTTTTCAGAAAAGAAAAAACTCGTAGGCCTTGTTTGGCATAAATATTTTGAAAAATGTTAGAAATCTCAAATTTTTATCAAATTTTCTATGGGTATAGGATGCATACCATGTGGGTCTCCTTACACCCATGTGAAACATTTAACAAAAATTTGATAAAATTTTTAGAGTACCTAGCCTCCGTTTGGGAAGTGGGTTGGCTTTTTGACTTTTTTGGCTATTTTAGCCTGGGTTAAAAAGCTTGGTTTGGGAAGGGTTTTTTTGACTTTTTTGACTTTTTTTGTGAGAGAAGAGTGTAATGATTATGAGTTGGATGTGATATTTTGTTTGTTGTAGCTAAAATAGCCTATTTTGTCTTTTGTGACTATTTTAGCCCCAAAACCACTTGTCAAACACTACCCTATTGTTAAAAAAAATTAGTTAAAATAATTAATAAAAATAAAAAATATATATTAAAATAGTAAACAAGACAAAATATCACATCTAAATCATAATCACTTTATTTTTTTTCTTATAATCATTAAATCAACTACAAAAAAAAATCAACAATCACCCAAAATATAAATTTTTTAGTCAAACTAAAATAATCAAATAATCAAATATCCAAGTTAAAATAACTCATCCTAAACAAGGGCGTAGTGGGTCTGACAAAGTTAAAAATTAATAATAAAAAAATAAAAGTGAAAAACACATTTTTCTCTTAATTTTTTAATAATCAATTTTTTTTCTTCTAATTTATATTAAAAGTTAACTTGATTGTTAAATTAAAATAAATTATAAACAACTCATATAAATTGCACAACACCGTACCATAGTAGCTTGGAAATTAATCCAATTTTATTTTTCTTTACTTAATGTAAATTCGAATTTAGTATAAAACGTGCATACACCAAGAATGACTTTCATTTTCAGGTGAAATTTTAGAAAAAAAATTTCCTATACCATACAGAATTTTTTTTTCTAGATTATTACATTTTGGGAAGCCTAGTGTATTTATTGATTTTTTAAAAATAATTTTTTATAAAAAATTTATTTTTTAGACACATTTAAGTAAGATAAAAAAATTTTAAAAAAATAAAATAACAATAAATTACTTAAAATTTTAAAAATATTTATTAAAAAAAATTCAACTTCAGAAAATTAAAACTAAGGTTCAATTTTTTTAATGTAAATTTAAATTTAGTGTAAAACGTGACTACACCAAGAATAATAATGACTTTCATTTTCTGATCCATTTTTATAAATTTTTTCCAATAACCTAAACATTTTTTTTTAAAAAAAATTGTAACGTTTTGGGAGGCCTTGATGATGGAAACGAACCTGAATGACATGGTTTTTGAAGCAGACATTGTCTTTCTCCTTTCTCGTACGGTACTCAATATACAGAACACTGATCAGATAAGCAGTCCAGCTTCCAACAACGCCATAAAACACCTGTAATATGACCCCTGAAATCATACCCATTTGAGAAAATGAGTATGGCAGTGTCAACAAAACCTGTGCTACCTGTAATAAAAAAAAAAAAAGAACCAAATCAAAATTCAATCCATTCTCAAATTAATTAACAATAGTTTGGTTTGTGGGTATTTCGAGAATTTACTTGATTTGAAGCACAGCTGAACCAAGCATCATAAACAGAGCCACCATGCCAGAGAAGGCTCTTGAAGCTGCGAATTGACTGATCTACCCTCTCTTCCTCTGTGTTGTTGTCATCTGGGTTGGTCTCATTCATGGTTCCAGAAACTACTATGGCCTCTTCAGCTTGTTTTTGTGGTACCATTTGCTTCTTCACTTCTCTAGAGAACAACTACAACTCAAAAAAATAAAATAAAAACAGAGAGATGGAATCAAAGAGTTGTACTTGGGTTTGACAGGTCACTTTCTTGGGTGGGTATTTATGGAGTTTCTGAAAATGAAGAACTTTTTTTTTGTGTTGACAAATGTATTATTCTATGTAGAGATAGAATAGAAGTTTGGAATTTTACCCTTTTTTCGTGGGGAAAGAGAACAACTACAACTCAAAAAAATAAAATAAAAACAGAGAGATGGAATCAAAGAGTTGTACTTGGGTTTGACAGGTCACTTTCTTGGGTGGGTATTTATGGAGTTTCTGAAAATGAAGAACTTTTTTTTTGTGTTGACAAATGTATTACTATTCTATGTAGAGATAGAATAGAAGTTTGGAATTTTACCCTTTTTTCGTGGGAAAGTGGCTGTGATTTTACAGGGTTACAGCTAGCACAGATGTTGATTTCCAAGATTGGCAAAACTTTAAATGCCTGTATATCTATCAATCATAAATGTGAACACTTCTCTCTCTCTCTCCCCCCTTTAATCCATGAGAAAAAATGGTTCAAAGGTTTGCCTATGAATATGAATACAACCCAAAAAGCAAGTTTGCTTGACTCGTAAATGTAACAGAGCAAAATCTCTCTCTCTCTCTCTCTCTAGTGTATGTTAAGATATTGACTCTATTCAAGAATCGAAAAGCACAGCCTTCTGATCGGTACAAACAGAGGAGGAGAAAATGAGAGCTGCTTTTGCAGTTAAAAAAAAAGAACAGACTCTGTTTCTCTCTCTCATTCTAGTCTTGAAGAAACAGAGACGTACAAAGATATATCATTCTCTCTGCTTCTAATTTCTCTCTCTCTCTCTTCTCCTTTATATCTCAAGTATTTAACCATCAAGAATGATTTAAGGCCCCGTTTGTTTTGGGTTATAGCAAGGGGATTAGGATTACTAGTACCTTGGGATTAGTATATGGGGTGTTTGTTTTGAGAGATAGCCTAGGGACTATTAATACCTTGGGACTAACTAATACCTTGGTATTACTAATACCTTGTTTGTTTTGAGAGATAGGGAGGGTACTACTAATACCTTGGTATTACTAATACCCTTGGGGAGGGGATTCATAGTGAGGAGGTAGAGATGGTATTAGAAAAATAGTGAGGGGATTAGAAATTTTTTTATTTTTTTTATTTTTTATATATTGGAAATTTTTTTTAAAATATAATTTTTAATTTTTTATATTTTTTTATTTGTTTTATTATTTTATATAAAAATAATTTAACAATTCCTCACTACTAATCCCCTCACTATCAATCCCCTCACTACTAATCCCCTCACTATCAATCCCCTCACTAACAATCCCCTCATTATTAATCCCCTCACTATCAATCCCCTTCATTCTATCTCTGAAAACAAACGACCCTCACTAACAATCCCCTCACTATTAATCCCCTCACTATCAATCCCCTCCATTTCATCTCTGGAAACAAACGGGGCCAAAGAGTAACGCTAGAAATTTTAAATATTCTATCAAAAGTTTTATTAAATTCCAAATATTCTATTAAAAGTTTTATCAAATGTTTCACATGGGTGTGTGGGTCCCATGTGGGTCCCACACCCATGTGAGACATTTGGTAAAATTTTTGGTAGAATTTTTGGGGCCTCTAGCATTTTTGATGATTTAAATCACTAAAAAATACACTATTAATAACACTAATACATTGAAAATAACAAATAAATAAATAAAACAAGGCATAGAAAGTTGGCGGAGCCTACTATCATATCATTAGTGCTCCTTCTAATGATCCCTTTTTAGTGCTCTCAAACATTTTTCTTTAACCAAACGCGGGTTCTTGTAAACAAAATTCTCGAATTTAAACAGTTTTTAGACTTTTATGTTTTAGGAAAAACCTTCTCTCCGGTTCATATTGAAGTAGAGGATGTTGTTGGCCTTTCGTAAGTCCATTTAAATTTTGTATTGATAATTTGAACTGTTTAATATGTAAAGTTTGTGAGTATTTCATTTCTATAAAAAAATCATATTAATTGAATATCGTTAGATAATTAATCAAATCACATTTGTATCAACAATAACAATGATTTTAAAAATGAATTATTTCTATAAATATAAAATGATCAAGTGACTATTAATATCTGATTAACGTGATTTTTTATAAAAATAAAACACTCGACGAATTCTATATATTACATAGTTTAGATCATTGATGTGGGCATGATGAACCCACTAAGACCCAACAACACCCTCCAATTGAAAACCAATTGGAGTGAATTCTCTCCTAATGTTTTGTATTCAAGTTCTTTGGCGAAGGATTTAAACTTATGTTTATGAATTTGAATAGAAATTTTTTTAAAAGAAAAAAGTGATTGAATTGTAAATATAATTTAATAATATATTACATTTGAGTCACTTTTTTTAAAATTTTAGTATCCAAATTAATAATCTAAAGAAAGTTTGAAGTACTTTACAAAATAACATATCAACTATTTTCTTTTGACTTTTGAACATATTTAGAATTTAAAATAGTTGATATGTTTGAAAATTATTAAGAAAATTACTCTTTTTTAGAAGGAAAGTTTTTATTTTTTATTTTTTTATGTGTGTGTGGCTTTTAAAAAAAAGAAATTCAAATAGATTTTTGCTTTTTACTAACTTATATAGCACCAAAAAAAAAAAAAAGACCTTGTTTGGTTTGTTTTTGGGGAAAAAAATTCATTTTTTTTTGTTGAAAAAATAGAAACTAATTCAAAAAAAAAATCAAATTTTTTTTTTAATTTTTAATAATTATTTCTGACCTCTCAAAAGAAATTCAAAATGATAGGTATATTTTTATTTTTTATTTCCTTCACTAAACTAATTTTTAATTTTAAAAAAAATATTCTAGAACAAATTTCTAAAAATCAAAGGAACATGGCCAAAAATTTTAACTGATCCCATACATGACCTAAATGGTTTGACGGGTTACCAATCCAAATCTCAATAAAGTAGGAGTAACAATACATACCTCTAATTTAAAAACTCTAAATAGAGCACTAGTAAAGTAGAAGAGAGAGAGAGTAGAGAGGAGTGTAGGCCCCACCCTCACATAGGTAGGCTCTACATTATTAAAATTGTATTAGAGCTCTCAAATTTGACCTCCCAAACATTATTGATAAAGCAATAACAAAAGTTCACAAAGAATTAACAAGTGCTCAGGCCTAACTAACTCCACTATTATGAAAAAGAGTAAATGCAGTAACTGTTGTACAAGATTGATCAAAATAGCCTTATTTATTTATCTATTCATTTTATTTTGTCCCTTTCATTTTTTATTTTCATTTTCTGAAAGGAAAGTTTTGACTGTGCAAAAGGGCCGAGCTCGGCCTATCACTTTATGGTTAGCTAGGTCAGACTGAAAATGAACCAACTGTACCAAAAAGGATTGACCGAGCTCCACCATCTTGGCCGAGGTGTTCTACAGGTGGACTGAGCCGACTTCACCGAGCTGTGGTGGTAAAAACAGAGGTGGACCATGGTATAGAATTAGGGTGAGTCTAGCTAGCTAGGCTGAGCTGAAATTAACCAGTTGGGCATCTCGAAGCTAGGCCGGTTGGTGGAGGCTGCTCTTGGAGTGGATAGTCACCTGTCGGATTGCGGATAACTCGGCAAGAGCTGTCACGTGGTCCAATTAAAGAGCAGAGAGAGGAATACAACTGTTCGTGCGTGTCAATACCGTTTGGCTATTTTGGCGATGTTGTTTGGCAGTTTTATCGCCTACACACGTGTAAAACAAAGAGAGTATAGTACACCTACGTGCCTAGGAGAGGGCGAGTGGAGTAGTGCACACACAAACTATATAAACCTTGTAGCGCCTCCATGCAACAAGTGTGCAATCTTTTTACACAAAGCTATCTTCTTTTTTGTCCTTGTCTCTATTTGTGGTGCTAACTTGATCGTCAGAGAGGTTTTTTGGCAATACACCCGCTGGGTAGCTTGTTGTCACTGTGTTTTCAGGTTCCACGGCGTTGTTCGGAGAAGCACGAAACTTAGACGTAAAAAGTAAAAGCGTAGAATATTTACTTCCCGTACAATTTCCCATCCTTCTAAAACATCACTCTCTTTATTGAAATGTCATATTGTCAAAATATATACTTAGATATAGTTATTGCATTTACTTTTTGGAGTTAATTTAGGCCTATTTATTCCATTAATTCCTCTATCTCTTGTCTCTTTGTGCAATCCTTGTCATTCGTATCAATTTGTTCTGGGTCAGTTATGTTCGAGACTTGAATGGTCTTTCACTGTGCACTCTACTTGATCAAGCTATAATTCCGTTAAGGCTTTGTTTGGCACTAATTTGTAAGGTTTTATTTTTAATTAAAATTATTTCATGCTTTTTGAAGGTTATGGCCTGTTTGGTATAACTTATTATAAATTAAAAGATAATAATTAGAAATAATAAACTAAAAACACTCCTTCTCAACGTTTAGATAATCAATTTTTATAAGTAGAAGTTGCACCAAACAGTCTAACAGAGATTCTTAAATTAAAATAAACTATAATTAACTCATTTAAGCTATATCAAATACCAAAATGTAAAAAGAGTGATTGACCAATAAATCCCATATTTTAGACTTGTGACCTATATAGTTACATATTTTTTATTGTGATTCATTTAGTGTTTTTAGATATGTAATGATTCATTTGCTCACTACATTAAAGTATTACATTTGAAAAAAATACACTAAGAAAATTTTTTAATGTCATATTATACCTGTTGCATTAGAATGTCACATTTGAAAAAAGTACACTAATGAATTTTAAATTTTTTAGTGTCACATCATATATGTCATGTTGGAGTGTATCACATGTTACATTTGAAAAAAATATATTAAGGAGTTTTTAATTTTTTGGGAGTGTCACATTATATCCGCCACATTGTCACATTTGGAGAAAGTATACTAATGAATTTTTAGTTTTTTTTAGATTATCACATCATAATTTTTAATTTTTTGAAAGTGTCACATCATACCTGTTATGTTAGTGTCACACCACACCCGTCATGTTGTCACATTTAAGAAAAGTACAAAGGAATTTTAGTTATTATATTATACCCGTCACGTCGTCACATTAAAAATAAAAAATAAAAAAGTACACTAAGGAGTATTATATTTTTTGGAATGTTACATCATACTCGGCACGTTAGAGTGTTACATGTTATATTTGAAAAAAATGTATTAAGGAGTTTTTAATTTTTTTAGAGTATCACATCATACCCATCACGTTGTCACATTTAGAAAAGTATACTAAGAAATTTTAATTTTTTTTTTTTTAGTGTCATCTCATATCTGTCGAGTTGAAATGTCACATTATACCTATCATATTAATAAAAAGGTATAAATGTCTACCAAAACACTAAAATCGAAAATAGGATCACAACAAAATAAACTCTTCGCTAATAGGACTTAATAGATCAATAAAAAATACTTAAAACTAATTGGAGTACTTGTTTGTGAGATAAGATTTATTGATAAATATTACATGTAAGGATTAGTTTTAAATAGATTTTTTAATGAGATAATAAGGTCATTAAAACTAAGAGCTCCTTTGGCAAGTTATAATTTTTTAAAAGTCAAAAAGTCACTAAAAAAAAGTTAAAAAATCAACAAATATCAAAAAAGTCAAAGATTATTTTTTATTCACTCTACTTTTTGCATATATTTTCATAAAAAATTAAAAAGTCATCTCAAACGTATTAATTTTTTCATTTCATATTTTAATTAAAAAATCATTAAAAAAATTTGTTCTCAAACGAGGCCTAAGTGCCATAGCTTATA